GTGCGTGATTTCGAATCCAGATGGAAATGCTATGACCAAAACAGAATTTTCTTTTGTGATATGAAACATTTCAATCAAGACCGTATTCCACACACATGTTTTCTTCTTCTATTTTGGGATCTAAAGAATTAAAGTGGATAAGGGTGTTGTATGAAGCATAAATGGAACAGACCTAAAGGACTTAATCCCGTAAAAACATTACGGGCTTTTATTGCCTTTCGCAAATTGATCCTCTCCACAACCCATAATGACAACATTTGCCCCTCAAAAATGTTCCTTCACAATTGAATATTTTAACTTTGACACTTTTATTCCCTTAACTCAAAACAATCCTTTTTATTATTAAAAGTTATTATTATTACTATTATGATTATACCAAAAAAGGGATGTTACAGTCACATATAAGCATCATTAGGAGTTTCAATATCCTACTAAATATACTATTAAGTAAATTATTAAGTTTTTAATTCCAAAACATGAATTTTATTGTTAACATATGAATGTAGTCGGAAATCGTGCGTGATTTCGAATCCGGATGGAAAAGTTATGACCAAAACAATTTTTTCTTTGGTAATATGAAACATTTCAATCCAGAACGCAGGACACGACATGTGTCAATTTGACATGAACTATGTCATACCTAGTAGGTCAAAAACAACCAATTTTCCACTACTTTGGTCTCAATGCATCCTATTATCCTACAACTTCATAAATGACTCTATGGATATAATATATGTAAGAAACATATTTTAAGTCAAATACACCCTATTTCCATAGTGACTTAATGACTATTACCTTTTAAAGTGACAAGAGCCGTAAAGAAGCTCATATAGACCTTAAGTTATCAACATTGTTCTATAACCTCTTAATGACTTTCCTTATTACTAATTAGGTTTAATTCTATAGGCTAAATATTTGACTTATTATTCAAAGATATGCTACATTATATATATATATATTTTTACTACAGAGAAAAATGGTAAAATAAAAAATAGTAAATATAATACAATTAAACAAGCAAATGGATCAACAAAATCTTAAAATTATATTTGGTTATTTACAACCTCTAAATAATATTAGATCCTCTAAATTATTTGTTATATGGTTATTTTATTTGAGTCTCTCATGATTTGTCAAATGATTTTAATTCTATCATTAATCAATAAAATTACGTAAAATAGACCTAGACTTTAGTATCTGACGTTTTTTTAATAAAATAATAAGTAGCTATTACGTCTTCTATTATTTTTTACTAGTAATAAAAATTAATTAAGAATACTAATGATTTATAGTAACAAAAATAATAAATTATGTAACATTACTTTCAAAACAATGGTTGATATTTAAATAATCATAACGATTTGAATTAAAATAAAATCGAATAAGTAACTTTTAAATTAATTAATCATAATGATTAAAAATAACAAAAAACTAGAAGTTATATATGTAATGTTATCGATGTTTAAGGTGAGGATAAAGCTTATCGAGTAATATTATTTAAAATAGTTAGAATTTATATGTAACTTAGTAGAAAAATTATTTTATAGTTAATGTTAATGAGATATCCATTTTTAACATGTTTATTAAAATTTGAACTCTATTATTTTAAACCTATACAAAGTGTCGATATTATTGTTTTGAACGACATAAAATTTTATAAATAAAACTAGCAAGGAGCTAGAAAGAATCCATTACAACATAATAGAAGCTAAAACGGGATTATGAAGCCAGAGTCCAAACTAGCTTAGCTTTACTACTATTAGAAATCCATAAAAACAATGTATCAATAATATCATCAAAAAGAATGGATTTCCTAGGATTAGCAGTTCCAAAAACTATGGAATTATGAAAATTCCACAAACAGCAAAAGGTCGTCAAAATAACTGCATCCAAAGCCTTGCATTGACCTCCCTGCATGTTAGTCGTATCAACCCAAGAAAGAAGAGATGGAATGGTCAATTGATCAGGCAATTGCACATTCCACCAAATAGAAATTCGTCTCCAGATATCATTTAGCTCCATACACCCAACAAAAATGTGGTCAATCGTCTCCACTACAACATGACAGATATGAGAGAGGATCGACTCCACCTCAATACCCCTATGCGATAATCTCTCCCTAGTATAAATACCAAGATGCGTGATTCTCCATATAAGAATATTAATCTTAATGGGGACCCAATTCTTCCATCTAGTCTCTAAACCACTCACATCAAGCATATTACTATCAATAAAATCCTGAGCCGATGAAACAGAGAAGGTGTCAGAAACATCACCGGTCCATCTCAATCTATCAGGTCTAGGTTGAAGCTGAAGATCCTTTTTAATAAACATAAAATATTCCCACTGAGTCTGCTCAATTCCACCCCTAGACAACCGACGAAAGGTATCAGGACCCTAACAAAAGGAAAATCAATATCTGACATACTCCAATTTATAGATATCTAAGGCAAAAATCCTGTGAAAAGTATCTGCAAGAGGTAAATCACTCACCCATCTATCTTTCCAGAAGGACGTATAGACCCCATCCCCCACTCTAATAGGACACATAGACATGATGTCAATATCACGGTCACACAAACTAGAAAGCATATGAATAATATTATTCCAAGGCCCATTGCTAGAACTACGAGGCTTCAAAGAAGAACAACCTCCATCCGAACCATATATATCTTTAACTACTCTCACCCACAATAAACCTGGGTGATGAAAGAATCTCCACCTCCATTTAAAAGTCATAGCCATGTTAATAGCAAACATGCTACCAACTCCCAGGCCCCTAATACGTTTAGAGGCCAAGATTCTATCCCATCTAATTCAATACAATCGTCTCTCATCCAAATCAGCACCCCAAAAGACGTTGGCTCTCATAGACTCCTAGGATCTAAGAACCATAATCGGAATAGGGAAGACCGACATCAAATAGCTACCTATAGAGCCAAGAACCGACTTAATGAAGGCAAGGTGACCACCCACCGAAAGACATTTAGCCTTCCACCCTGCTAATCTGGAACAAAATCTATCTATAATGGAAGCCACCCATTAACATGTGACATGTTTTGACCCACCGGCACCCCAGGATGTATAAAAGGAATAGACTCATAAGCACAACCCATACTACTAGCCATACTCGAAATCTGGGAGGAAGAGACCCCAACTCTAATCAATTTGCTTTTATGCAAATTGAATTTTAAACCGAAAGCCATATAGAAACATCTCAAAATACGGACCAAATGATTCGCATTATCCAAACTCCAGGGAGAAAGAAGAACTACATCATTCGTGTAAACGAGATGAGAAATCTCAATACCACCAATAAAGATCCCTCTGAAAGCATTATCTGTCCGAGCCCTCTCTAAAGCCACATGTAAACCCTCCATAGCTAAAATAAAAAGAAAAGGAGACAGAGTGTCTCCTTGCCTCAAGCCTCTCTGAATCTGGAACTCTTTGGTAGAGGAACCGTTAACTAAAACCAAGCCTCTTTGAATCTGAATCTAAAAGTGTTGATATTTTTCCTAGTAGTAAATAATTAGAGAAAGTTTAAATCAATAGAAAGTGGATGAAACAAATGATATGATAAAACGAAACTATGGATAAGGTTGATGATTAATAGATATTAAAGTTGTCAAAATCGTGTTTTTGATTTTATGATCCTACTACCTATGAAAATTTTATTGGATCGAGTAGGATCATATGATATATAAGATCTCACACAAGATTGTAGGATGGTGATCAGGATCGTAAGATTGAGATCCGATCCAATCCTACCACTCAATGAAAATTGTCAAATTTGAATCTAATTTTTGTTATCTTTACCTATTTACTAGTTAATTCGATGTTTTTACCCAATGGTTAATCAAGAATAACCCATTCTTTTACTGTTTTGTAAACCATAATGACTAACAAAATATAATTATTTTTCTTCTTTTATGTTTTATCCTTATTGACGTTAGAATTAGAGATTTAGCTTTGAATTATTATTAATATCTTCCTTCAAAAGTTGAAGCTCATTAACAATGAAGTGAACATTTTTCCAGTTTTTTTTTTGTTTTTTTTGTTTTTTTTTTGTTTTGAGAAATTATAGTTTTTAATTGAGCTTCAAAAATTGAAATCGTTAATGCTTTCTTCTTTAAAATTAAAACAAATAATGTGTTAGATATTTAAGACAAATAACATAAAGATTGCAAGTTGCTATTATCTTTCTCTCCTTATTATTCTAATAAAAGAATATGTTTATTCTCCTTTTGCCATGTGTCATTTTATGAGGCTTTCTATTTAATATCATGCCACTTGTCAACCTATTGATTCTCTATTTCAAATTTTAAATTTTAAATTTTCTCACTCTAATTACATTATATTAATAAAATTAGAATAAAAATTAGAATAAAATTAATACATATTATAAGGTCACATATTTATTTAAATCAACGATTATAATTTTATATAACTAAAAAATATCTCTTAATTAATAATTTATTTAAAATATTTGATTAATAATTTTAAAGTTTTAGTATGAAGATTTAATTAATTTTGTAACCGTAATTCTCACGTGTTATAAACTAGTTATATGATAAATAATTAATCCTAATAATTTTTTAAGCTATTACCTTTTTGAGCAATTTAACCATGTTATATCCAAAGTATATATATTTTATATATGATCAATTACCTTGTATGTTATTTTTATAGGATCTTGAAATCCTGATCCCAATCTTGATATATGGATCCATCTTAATAGAGATTGTGAAAGGCAGCATTGCTAACGCTACGGGTTAACAAATTTGTGATTAGGAACATGCACATAAATAGTAACCAATTAATTTTGCATGATACAAGACAAAAACTAGTGAAAGAAAAAACAACTATTAATGTATAAGTTTTGTTGCACAGGTTACAAGTCAGTATAGGAATGTAACCGTATATATCGAGTGCCCACGTAACCTAGCTAGATTTCTATGACATTTTCTCTCTGTGTTGGAAACCATGAACCGTCTGAGTGTTTAAGGCATGTGGGTACCAGCTTTATGCCTCAAAGCAAACCTATTGACCAAAGCAAGTGCATTGCTAGTGAGCTGTGTTACATAACTCATCCTCCTAACAACAGCATCCTTCACAGGTCCATCAACGGAACCATCAGAGAATCCTCTACTACAGGTGTTTTGATTCGTAAGAGCAGAACTCACCCATGTTTTGATGTTACTCATGTGCCATTCGAAGCTCTGGCCTCTAAACTGACCCATTTTCTCGAGCTCCTGAACCGACTGGTTTAGGCTTGACACACAGTTGTTCATATTGTTGACACAGTCTTTCACAGCTTGGTAGATGTTTGGTTTCAGTCCTGAGGACGCAGCCAGTTTTGAAATGTATGCTGTCGTGGAATTGGCGTTGTTTAGGCTCACAGAAATGGCTGCTTTGGCAAGCTTTAAATCGTTTCCTTGGATAGAATCCGCATAACTTGAGAGACAACGGACACAGAGTGATGGGTAGCGGGTTGTATTGCATGAGGCTGTGACGTAGTTCATGGCAGCGGTGGAGGCATTGCTCGTGGTGTAGAGGAGGGCCACAAGGAGGATTTGCAAGTAAACTCCTAGTTTATCCATAACTCAGAGTAATAGGGTTTGAGGGAATATGTTAATCAAGAGTGAGAGATATGAAAAGTGAAGTGGGGTTGGATGAAGAACATAAGATCGTTGGAGGGGTTTATATACTACTTATAAAATCCTTAAACACTTGTGCAGTGAAGGTTTTACAGATAGACTATCCATCCATGAGATTGAACAGGAGGTACTTAATTAATTGCTCTTTTAAACGACTATAAAAAACAAATGAGATTGAATCAGAGATAGTCACGTGCTCTTCTTTAATATCCATGGTCAATCACCTTCTCATACGTTTTGACTTCAGTATTACCATTATTAAGATTTATGGTTATTTCTAGTCAGCTTCTCTATGTTTTAACTTTTTGAACAAGAGATAGTCACGTACTCGACATATTTCTAGAAAAATTCTTCCTAAAACCGCTCCTTTTGGATCACCGCTTTGGCCTTTGAGGCATTAAAACCATTAGGTTATTGATTCTAAATTCTAAATTGTTAATTTTCGAAATTGACCTATATACTCCTTTTCTAGTATCAACCAGGCGTGAGTTTATAAGTGTCCTACCAAGAAAGAACCATATAATTTGTACTCAACCCTGTCAACCGCATAAAAATAGCTTAAAAAATGAGAAAATATGAGAACTAGGGTAGTCAAAGATCTAGATTTATGTTAGTTTAAACAGCTGTAAGAAGTTTAAACTAAGCAATAATGATGCTAGATTTGATAAGTCTTGGTCGGCATAGAACATCAAGGCATAGGGGAGGCAAGCGTTGACATTTATGAAAATTAAATAAATACTCCATGTAGCAAGTATATAATATTATATTCCGAATCCACGCTTTGTTTTGTTCGAAACTGACTCAAAATATTCAAATATGTTTGTCCACTCCTAACAACCTTATCAGAATTATATAAAAATAGACAGAAGAATTCATACAGGGAAGGGTGTCAAGTAGGTGAAGCTAATAAGTACTTGCATGCGGTGGTGTGCTTTCGGTAAGTTTAGATCTCATTCATCTAAATGAATGATAAAAAACAACAAATATTTGTTTTCTTTTTTCATTAAGTAAACGATAATATATAAGATGGGCCTGCCATGGGCTAACAAACAACAGTAGAATTACATTTTAGTAGCAGCGTGGTAGAGACAAGACCTCCACATGAGTTGTACTACGAAATTATATTCAATGTCTCGCAGTAAAAAAAAATATCATTATAGTATTCACCAAAAAGAAAGTCTGAGCATGATACGTATGAGGTGAAACCGGAGTAAAAAACTAGATCCACTCCCTGATCTAAATGTATTCTATCATACACGACCTCATGATCTTCCATCTCAATTCTTAAAGACCTAAATCCAGAGAATGATCTACGCATGGCTTGCTGGAAGTTTAGCTTGACTTGGTCTTTTGGTTGACCGACTATTAAGAAAATAATGAGAAGATTGACTGCCACTTTGTTAAGAGAAAGTGGGTAGTTTACTTAGCTATTTTTTTAGTATATAGTTTTAGGGTATTTTTGATATATTTTTTACTGTTCCATAAAAGATCAGCAGCCCGTTTGATAATGAAATTTTGAGCCTGAAAAGTCTGACCTAATCAGCGATAATATATGTGTGTTTATATGTGAATAACAACCAAGTTTCAAACCATTTTATATATAAATTTAAAATAAATATGATATAGTTACCTAACAGAAGGGTAAAATGGTCATATCGAACATTTAACACATCCAGTTTCAGGTGGAATCAAACAACATGTTTCAGTGAGAGACACATTCAGTCGAAGCTTCAGACCCAGTTAGGGCTCTGACTCGATCAGATTTAACTTAGTCAGCAACTATCAAACAACCCTTACGTCGGTAGTTCGGTTGTATTTTGAATTATTAAGCTCGAATTCTTTCCTCCGTGTAATAAGTTGTTAGTGAAATAAACTCACAAAATTAGCCCCAAGTTTGCTTACCCTTCGTATATTTGTCTGGGTGTGAATTGATCCTACATAAGACCCGTCACAACACTTGGTATCAGTCCAGTTCATGACCAAATATATCTGATATGAAAACATGTCAAATTAAAACCAACAAGCCACAAAGGAAAACGGTGGAGTATCGTTTTCGTACCCGATGTTAACCTCAACTACACGACATGTGCGATTAAGATCGAGGATATAATGGACCCCAAGGGGTATGGGAATCCATTGAACCGACGGCCGTAACGGCTATGGATGAGAAGAAGAGCAAGATTGATCGAGCATTCCTCTTTCCGACGATTCGAGAAGACATCTTGTTGCAAGTGGAAAAGAAGAAGACAGCAAGAAAAGTATGAGATTCTTTGAAAGTAAGGTACCTTGGAGTGGATAGAGTACAAAAGGCAAGGCTACACATGCTGAAAAGCGACTTTGACGCATCGAGGATGAAGGACGGACAGTCCACCGATGACTTTGCGGGAAAACTAAGTGGCATGATTTCGATGTACAGTAGCCTTGGAGCTACCCTCGAAGACAGTGTTCTATGAGCAAATTGCTTGGCTCCGTTCCAGATAAATAACTTCAATTGGTAATCTCAGTCATCAATATTTGGATGTAGAACATTCCTCACAAGAATTCCCAAAGGAAGCACAGAGGCGAGAACCTGTGTAGCATCCCCAATTTTTACGGCCAGAAAAGAACCTTTTCTGTATGCTTATTTAGAACATAATATATCTTTTATTTGTGCGAAAATTGTCCCAAAACATTATCAATATGTGATCAATAATATCAATATAAAGCATTTCCGGAGAAATGTTTTTCATTTATTATTACAAACTTTGGATGTCATAACAGATACAAGAAACATAAGCTTAATCATAGTGATTACAGGCCTTACAACAACTTATTGTACTAATGGCCTAAACTCCTTGAATTTCTCAACGGATTCGTACCACTACCTTTGATACAAAGAAATTTAGTGGGTCAGGATTGAGAGCCTGGTGAGCATATAAGATTTTTATCCCACAATAATTAGATCTTTTAAATAAAACTCTTTTAAACCAAACAAATAAGCCAATTACCCATTCACATTATTCTTAATGTTTAATCCTAAATTGATAATCTAAAGGGATTTATCCTAAACGATTGTTGGAATTAACGAGGATAGAATATTATTTCGGGAATTCCGTAGAAATATATGTTAATAAGGCAACTATGAGGGGGATAGAGTACTCAAATGATCACATGCACCATACTCTCGAATTGTATGATTCATTAACACCTATAGATTGTGTGTCTGCTAGTGTCCCACTGACTGTCTAGAGAAGTCTGTGGTCATCATCAATACTCTGCTGGACGACTACTCTCAGTTGGGCATGATCTCTCACCCTTATTTAATCTCTAACATGGTCTCTCACAATTATTTTATCTCCGACATGGTCACTTACCATTATATTATCTTTGGCATGGTCTTTCACAATTATAATATTTCTGGCATGGTCTCTTGCCATTATATTATTTACGGCATGGTCTCTCACCATTATATTATCTCTTTCTCAACCCTTTTCAACCCCATATTTTTTGTAAATAAAGTAAAATACATATATGAATTAAGTAAAAATCATATTATATCTGTAACATCCCAAAAACACAGTCTGAAAATTTCGTTTAATTTAATAATAAAAACCATAGTCGATCAACCTCATATAAAAATCATAAGCAATGTATCCCAAAATATTATAACAACTGTCAAGTATATCAGAGTATAAACATCCCAGACTGAACAAATGGTGTGTGCACTGCAATCTTCCCGAGCTCCTCTTTTGAAAACTGAGTACCTGAAACAAAAACTGAAAAGTGTAAGCACGAAGCTTAGTGAGCTCCCCCAAACTACCACATACCATACAATAACATATAAAGCACATACTGGGCCTTGCCCACTGCATCAGACCGAAGTCCGGACTAACTGGGGCCTTGCCCCCTGCATCGGACCGAAATCCGGACTATCTGGGGCCTTGCCCCCTGCATCGGACCGAAGTCCGGACTAACTGGGGTCTTGCCCCCTACATTGGACCGAAGTCCGGACTAACTGGGGCCTTGCCCCCTGCATCGGACTGAAGTCCGGACTAACTGGACATAGCATAACATGATCATAGCATATAACATAAGCACATATACTGCATACTACATCGGACCGAAGTCCGGACTAACTAACACATAAACATGCCTGAATCACAAAGACATCAAGCATACTGAACTACTGCATCGGACCAAAGTCCAGAACTATTGCTATCTAAACGGGTCGGCATTGTGGCCGTAGACCCGTTCCTACTGGAAGGAAACTCACCTGTACTGCTGAACTCTGCTGATAGTCCTCTGGCTGCTAAACGACTATTCTATAAAGCGCTGCTCTCCTAGCTCACCGAGCTACCAACACCAAATAATAGAACTTAGCCTAAACTGTCCTCCAGAGGTCAACTAAATCAACTCTGGTCAAGGTCCTGGTCAAAGTCAACCTTCCAGTTGACTCGACTCACCGAGTTGTTCTACCAACTCGCCGAGTCCATGCTCCTCAAATCCCAAACAACCCCGACTCCACTCGTCGAGTCTAGCGAGAACTCGACGAGTTCTCCTTCATCTAACACTTCGGGACTCTCTTCAACCGACTCACCGAGTTGTTCTACAACTCACCGAGTCCATCTTCATCGGCTAAGGAGATTGCCTTGGACTCGCCGAGTTCCTCCTTGAACTCGTCGAGTACCATGATCTTCATGACCATCAAGGGCACAGACTGGCTGAGTCCTTCTCTAACCCCACTCACTGATCCGACTCATAAACAGAAGGGTTTGGGTTTTGCGACCCGACTTGCCGAGTCCATGAGCTGACTCGCCGAGTCCTCCTTGAGACAACTCTATTATGTCGATTTCAGTCTATTCCAACACTTATAACTCATAGATCTGGACTCCTTATGCTAGCATTGCACGTAAAGTTGCTAACTTTACGTGCATGCAAGGGGTTTTGAGGCTAGAACACCAAAT